TTGGTTAGAAGCGCTGAGAGATATGTTCGAGAATAGAAGTCGCGAAGGCGCGAATGCTGTACGGTCTGTCTGTCGAAATCCCTTGCTTCGTATAAAACAACAAGCAACACGAAGAAATATCAAAAGATGTACGGTTGAAAAAAAATTTGTTATCCCAGTTATCTTTCATTTCCCCGTTTGTTAACTGTTGCACCCGCTTTTACTTTTTTCGTATATTCCAATCCACTTGTTGCTTGTTATAATTGTTGTGGTTTTGACACCACGCCTATCTAAAATCTGTTTGGTGATAAATATGTATGTATGTATGTATGTATGTATGTATCCCTGGTCTCCGTCTCCTATGATGTCTTACTTTGCTCTTTGACCTCTTGTTTCATTCACAACTTCCATGCTCTCATTTATTGCCACACACACGAACTCGATTTTTCCCTTCTCTTAGACGAATCAAAAGCACCTCCATTTGATACAGTTTCTCACAGCTTTTGTTTAATATTTAGCTAGTTAATTGATCTAAAAGGGGTCTTGCAAGAGTGTCATAACGCCGTGACAACTGGGTACCTCTGATATTTGCAACTGTATGCAACTGTTACAGAGGAAAACATTGCAGTTTGGAATTGAACATGACAAGTCAAGACCCAGTAAAGAAACGCTATATGGCGCCCAAACGGTATATTTTTAACAATTTAGGATTGTTACAATGGATAGATAACACTCATTACAAACAAAAAGGACAATATAAAGAATTCAAATTTGTGCAAGTTTTTCTCTGAGGTGGGGGAGAACAGACTGACGAGTAACCAATAACCGAGCCAGGTGTGGAATTATACTATTTCTTTATGTGGAAGTACGCTGTGGTAATCGTGTAACGAGTACGCTCGCGCCACGGTACAGCTCCCAGGTAACCGATCAAGAAACGGAATAACCGACCCATCCTGTTGTCTCAGTTGGCACCAACCGGATTGGCTGAATGCAAGATGGCAAACAAATAAACAATATCGTTGTCGATTGGACATTGAAGATTGAACCAATGATTGTTTGATGCTTGTGATATATATTTGTATGTTTTTCTGAGTAAAACTAACTGCATCCACAGCTCGTCTTAGTTCCACTGACTTTGCGCTATTCAGTGGGTTTTCCGTCCGAATCCGAGTTCGCATTATTCGATTCCTATTCCGAATACTACATTCGTGCAGGAATGAGTTGATATATGGAGCGACTTCGGGGATTCAAAAGAGTTTTTGCGATATCTTATTGCAGACAGTGCCTTTAATCACAAGTGTTTGTAATCGTCTATCCCAGAGTAAGGCGCGATGAATATTTTCGGATAGGATAGATGTTTTGAAATCCGATTATTTTCCTTGACGAATTTCTTGAATCCACCGGAATCATTTCACCCAAGTAGGCATGATAGAACTTGTTTTCCTGATTTTATCTCCTTCGTCCCCCGTTTATTAGGCCCACTCATAGTTATTCATGGTTCACCGGATATACTCTGACCCCGAGTCTTTCGTTTCCTCCTCCACTGCTCCACTCTAGACATGTACATCCAACTCGACCGGATGCGTATACTTGCTGGTCCAGCCGAACCGGGGCACGTGCAACCAATTATGGAGTTCGCCTGGACTATATCCTCGTGGATCGAGCACTTTTGGCTTATTTTGATGCGATCCCCTCCGTTGTAATCCAGTCTGACTTGTTAACTAATCAGGTCGGCTCAGATCACTGTCCGGTATGGGCAGAACTGCCTCTATCCTCTGCGGCCGTTTGGGACCATCCATGGCCCGCGTTGTGCTCTCGTCATTGGCCTCAGTGCCAACGCAAACAGACCAAGTTGGTTACGTTTGTAACTCGTGGTACACAGGAGGAGCCTACCACCTCGACCGATCATTCAGTCATTCAGTTGAAGGACCACCGACTGGTCACAAACAGTCAGCCTGTTCAAATCGATCAGTGCAACGGGAATATCAATCGACCAAAACGCAGTGCAGCAAATGCACCCAAATCATGCTCCAAGTCCAAGTTGAAGCAAGCTAAGTTACTCATAGGTGAGTATGTATATATCCTCAAGAAAACCGGTATAATTTGAGTCACTTTTCTCTCTCCCCCCCCCCC